CTTGCGATGTCATCTCTACTCCCACAGTCTTCTGATATTACTTCACGATTACAGTCACATCTTGAAGCCATGGTAGATTCAGTTGAGAAAGGACGTGCTTTGGGCTCCTACGATWKGAGTTGTGAAGCRWTGATAGCCATGATGTCTTCTGCATTAAATAAACTAAAGCCTGGCAACAAACTCTCATCTGAAGCGTTACTGGTCATTTTGTCAATAGTGTCTCGTATTACCAAAGATGAACTAGTAAGAATATGGTGGTATAGCGGCGTAAAGGACCATTTCATGTCACTTCTACAGGACATCAGACGTTTTCTACCCAAAAATCTGCCGGCTGCTTCTGATGTTACAAAGCTAAAATCACAAGTAGATAGCCATGTTGACACCCTGGATCGAGTGCTGCTTCAATTCAATGGTAAGAAGTATTATTTATATATACGCGGGAATAGTTATACGATCTCTAGATATCTTGATGAAAATACAAAACAAAAAACACACATGTATCCAGGATTTCACTGGAGGWTTTTTTCCTTTTTATTTCAATAAACACAAAAAAACACTGGAGGGTTAAAAAATCATCACTAGACAATCATGAGATGACAAACACTAGCATAAAGTGGTATTCAAACAATTTAATGTTTCTTTCAAGTTGGTATTAAAATAATTCTGAATTTTTTGCCGTCAGATGTTCAAGTGAAGGGTACGGAGAGTGATCAGCCGTTTTTTTTTCTTGATGAAGTCGTCAGCGATATTAAGGAAGAGCTGAGTAAGCTGAAGAAAGAGTTGGCAAACATGATTCGCATCTTTGGTAAGTAGTTGAGTCAGATTGGATACMCATCATGCTGCTTTACAGCTGATTCGATATACAAGTTGTAATTTAAAGTACCGATTCTTTTCAATCTCGTACCACATGCCCATATAATTTTTGATGCAGACCGAAAGGAAAAAAAGGAATTTGGCGCGCTCTTCGATCCCTAGATGGAAAAACAGAAAAGTCATCAAGAATTAGCTCTTTAAAAACGGATGATGGAATAACTTACGACCAAACACAAATTGCCAATTCCTTAAATAATTATTTTGTAAACATCACTTCGCAATTGGACATTTCTAATGAGACTAACCATCACGTTAATGAAAAGCTCATTAATTACATTGACTCTCGCATTGACTCTGAAACCAATTTTAGTATTCCACCAATAACTGAAGCGGA